TTAGTGTTACATAAACTGGAGAAAATGTTATGATAAATTTTATTTAATAGTAAAGTACAAACATTTATAAACAGACGTTACATTATTGAATTTAAATATGTGTTACAGAATGAATTGTAATTAGCAACGAAAACGGAACGTATCACATTTTGTCATTTGATTGATGTCTCTATCTACTGCTACTGTTAAGTACCTACGTAAGAACATACGTAAGCATTTATCTATGTTCCGAACGACGTGAGATTAAATTAAACGCTGTTTCTATCGAACGAAGCAAAATATGAAATTTACTTTTCACTGTGTGCGCACTGGCGACTAAATATCAATTATCATGGAAATAATTAATCGTGATCCAATCCAACCCGATTCGACAAGTAAACGATGAATGCATTTTGGCGGACCTCGTACAGGAATTCGCATTGATACAACGAATACGTCCGTTGAGGTACGTGGAAATCTCCTATTTTCCAATGACTCAACGATGAGAAAAACGGACGTGCGCATTTGTTGCAATCGAAATATGTTAAAAAATATTTTAATTCAAATAGTCTGCCTTAGTATATATTATTTAAAGCTGATTTTTAATTCTGTTTTATGATTTACTATAAAGTTGACTACTGTCTTTTGAGGAATCAGGGAGAATCAATGAAAATGATTATGGCAGAGATTATAATTATCATGATAGAATGATTCCGATAGAAGAGAAAAGTGTGGATACTTTGCAAACTTAAGAATCGTGCGCACACGCGAAATAGCGGCCTTAATCATTATTATTCAACGTCGTACTCGTGATCTCCAAAGACTCTTGTACCCGTAACCGTAGACTAGTCGTCCCAATATGAACAATCGGCTTCCTTCTCACCGTCCTCACAAGATTCGTGTTCTTCACCACGCTCATTCATTGCCTGGGCTCTTCCAATTGACGTATCACTGTCATATTGCGAAAACGATTGTTTCGCACTTGCATCAAATGCAATTTATCAAACAATTTTTCTGACCAACTCGTTTAAAACATAAACAATCAAGAATCCCAAGTCCAAATTTCATTTACTATATCAATCACATATCAGTTACTTTATTTTCTTTCTACAATGAACGATGTTCTTTAAGAAGGAAATTCAAACTGATTTTTCATAATAATTGCCGGGTACTTATTTTAATAACTAATAATTTTTTTCGTTAAGAGATACAACGAAATTATTGTTCC